CAAAAATCCCTTTAATAATAATAATATAATAATAATAATGTTGCAAACTCACAGGCCCAATTACTTGGGCCTGACATTAAAAAAAAAAAAATGGAAATCCTCAAAAATTTTCACATTCGATATTTCAACAGGCACTAAATCTCTCCCTTCCCATTTCCCACCCGGCCACCCCAATGAAAGAAGTATAGATTTTTAAGAACCAAAAAAATAAAGGGGAAAGATGTTGAGAGCAGCGCATCTACCGTCACCGGGTTTCTCTGTTCTCAAGCTGTCTTTGGTTCCGACTCTGTGCTTCTCTTCTTTCCCTCCCTGTTATCTTCGCAAAGTCTCTACCTTTTCTCTTCTCCCCAAACCCCACATATCCAATTGCCGTCCTCTTCTTCCTTCTCTTAGCCCGAATCCGGTCTCGCCTATGGTGGGCTATACATGCCCCAGAGCAGCAGGTAAGTGATGATTACCTTGGACCCCATGTTTTATTTTAGTATTTTGTTTTCTTGTAATGCAGAAATTGCATAAGAATTTGAACTTGTGTCGTTTTCAGCATCGTTTAGTTCTGAGAGTGGCTCTGGAGGTGGCAGAGAAATATTAGTGCAGCACTTGCTGGTTAAAGAAGATGACTTGAAGCTTTTGTTGGAGCTTGAACAGAGAACATCCAAAGGTTAGTCTTCTTATGATTGATTGATGTTATTAGCTGTGGGGTTTACTGGTTACCGGCCTGAGCAGGCTATTATGTATTGGATTAGAGTTAAATGGGGGGGATTTTATTTCTTTATAGAATTTATAAACTCAAAAGATTAATGCTTGTTTAGTGTCATTTACTTTGTGAAGGAGTGGATTTGAGTGACCTTGCGCTGGAGTACTCCATTTGTCCATCCAAAGAAGAAGGAGGAATGCTTGGATGGGTGAGAAAGGGGCAAATGGTATGCTGATTGATCAATAAATAACTGTTGTATATTGTTTATTTTTTGCATCTCAATGTTCCTGGTGAAACATATTAGGTTCCAGAATTTGAGGAGGCTGCATTTAGTGCCCCTTTAAACAAAGTTGTAAGGTGTAAAACTCAATTTGGATGGCACTTGTTACAAGTTCTATCTGAGAGGTATGCCTTTGAATTCTTCTGTCAAATTGAACACTGTGGCATGATGATGCAAGACTGGCTACTGGAGTGGAACTAACTATCCTTTTGTGTTTTGGTCCTTCCCTATGTCTTCCATTTATGCGCTATCAGGGAAGAATCTTTACTTCGAGACATTCAACCTGAGGAGCTGCAGGTGAAAATGGAAGATCCCAGTTTTGTTGAAGAGGCTCAATTAATTGATGTCCGCGAACCTGATGAAGTGTATGTCGACAAGGATACTAAGAATTTTCATTTCTCCCTTTGCTGAGATATTGTCTGTTTCCATTTTCATTGTTTCAATCTACCTTTTTGACAGGGCCAAAGCTTCTTTGCCTGGATTCCAAGTTCTTCCCCTCCGCCAGTTTGGAACTTGGGGACCAGAAATAACTAGCAAATTTGATCCTCATAAAGATACGTATGTAATGGTATGTATTTTCTAATCCATTGTGGAGATTCTTGCCATTTCTCAGTTTTATTTGCAGAGCTGAAGTTCACCTTTGATTAATATGCCCATAGAATTTGGATAGTCAGTAATCTGTTCAGACTTTTTGGAGATAAAGAATACTGAATTTGTTTAGTTTCTCTTCAGGTTTTTGGTTGTTGAGGCTGTCCTAGTCATTTTGAGTTGTTCGTTAAATGGTGGCTTGACTAATGACTGTACATTATTACAATTTTCATCATGTAATGTTTGTTGTGGTTGAATTTTACAATCTCCCTGAAATTTATGGATGCTTCTCTCTGCTTTTCTTTATTACATTTTAACAGCTTCAAAACTTGTTATATGCAGTGTCACCATGGAATGCGGTCACTACAAGTTGCGAAGTGGTTGCAGACACAGGTAAAACTCATCATGTTAAATGCTACCTTAATGCTGTTTTTATCATTAATAATAATTGCATGCATCCATCCAGATCATTTTGAGGTTTTTTGGCTACTTCATCATTCTGTTACACTTCTCTTTATAGTGAAACCTTATCCTAGGAGTTTTATTACTAGTTACTCTATTATCATTGCTTTCTTATTTTTTATTTTTTGGTGGATATTGCTTTCTTAGTTAGTGTAGTTCTTGGTATGCAGGGTTTCAAGAGAGTGTTTAATCTGTCTGGGGGAATCCATGCCTATGCAACAAAGGTTGATCCTTCAGTTCCTGTTTACTAAGAGATTTTTCCCATATGTATGCTTTTAAATATTTACTACACTTTTGTTTATTTTAGTTTCAGTTTGCATAGTAGAAATGGAATTGCATGTAATCTGACATCTGTTTACCAAATAAACAAGTTGTTGGAAAACAATTGTTTAATGTATCTTTTAATTGGAAAAGTATATTTTTCTCTTCCTCCTTGTAGGAGATTGAGATCTGTCTAGATATGGCACTTGGATAATTGAACATACACATTCATGCACAAACACAAACATGTATAGATGCGCATATAGCTCTTTTATACATTTAAATTTGTATAGCAACTACAACCTTGCACCATTACAAGTTAATAAGCACTCATCACTAGGGCTTTCCCCTTAATTATTATTACTTAAACATGATTGTATAGAAGACAAATACCCAAAACTCCCTTAGCTTGCTTTATTAATTCGTTGTCTTTCTTCTCTCCATTGTAGTTAATAATGAGCAAAATCAAACAAAGGAATACAATTAGCATATGATTATAGTGTAAGAAACATTTACTGCATATATAAATTAAATTCAAAGACTCACTCCTGGCTGGTGTTTCTGGAAATGGGAATGTTCATCTGAACCCCACATTTTTGAGGAAGAGATTCTCCTGCATCTTCCTCTATGGTTGGGAAACAAGCAGCAGCCTCCTTCACACAGTTGCATGCTGCTTGCCTAGCCGCGGTGGTTGGAGTCATTGCCTTGATATTCTTCACACCAGCACAGAATGCAGCTGCCGGACTAGGGACTACCCCTGGCAGTCAGGTATGAGACGCAGGGGGCCAAGGATGCCATCCACTTGTTCACAGGAGAATGCTTGTCCCGGCCTCACCATGAATGAACACAATGGCCAACAAAGCAAACATGGTTATGAAAGCTCCCTTCATTCTCACTCTATAGTATTTGAATGTTGAAGAACACTGATCTTATGGTTCTATGAATTGCTTTCTATGCTGAGTAATGCGTACTTAAAATGGGGTTGAGAGGCGAGGCATGATGTCACGGTATGATAAAGGCAGTTACGGTGTTGGATTCTTGTTTGTGAGAAACGTCAATTGGTTTTTCCCAGAAACAAAGAGGATATGTTTATGGAACAGAAGTGCTTCTTTGCAAGCATTTTATTTTAACTCGTCCACTAGCACTTTTCTCTTTGGAGAAAAGAATTTTCTTCATGCCCGCATGAACAAGCATACAAAATTAAATCATAGAAATTTAATTTTTAGGATCAAACACAGAATATATTATGTGGGCAGTAGCTTATAATTCTTTTCAATTACATCCTTAATCTTGAAGGACAACTAACGGACAAACCAAAAACGGTTTTTTAAAATTCTCCGGGAAATCCTCCAAACCATTGTCCCAAAATATTGTCCCAAAATGCACTTTCCTTTCCCCCAAACAGAGTCGTCAACCTCCTTAATCCTAAAATCCCTCACTATCAATCCCCTGTAGCTTCCTACACCAAAATCCAGGCTGTGTACTATCCTTCTCAACATTTTCTCTCACTCCTATACATGTCTCTCTTGTTCTAACACCTTTTCTTTAACCTTAATTCGGAAAATTTCTCTCTCCCCTTAAGGCCATCACCCCCTTTCCCCCTCAATTCCATCTCTCCCTCCTACAATGGGCAATTGTTGCTCTCACGGCAACGGTGGTAATGCCCCCAATAGTAATGACGAGGGAGAAAGGGAAAACCGGCGGGACAATGGTGCCAATTCTGCCTCCGGGGAGAATTTAACCGCAGCACCTAAGCCCTTGCCGCCTTCCCCATCTCCAGGGACCTCCTCCAAGGCTGCCAAGTCATCTCCTGTTGGACCCGTCTTAGGCCGCCCCATGGGGGACGTTAAATCGACCTACAGCATCGGGAAAGAATTGGGTAGGGGACAGTTTGGGATTACACATTTGTGTACCCACAAGGTCACCGGCGAACAATATGCATGCAAGACGATTGCCAAGCGGAAGCTGGTTAACAAGGAGGACATTGAGGATGTTCGGAGGGAGGTTCAGATCATGCATCATTTAACGGGGCAGCCAAACATTGTGGAACTCAAGGGAGCCTACGAGGACAAACACTCTGTTCATTTAGTCATGGAGCTCTGCGCCGGAGGAGAGCTCTTCGACAGGATCATCGCCAAGGGACATTACACAGAACGCGCCGCCGCGTCTTTGCTCCGAACCATTGTCCAGATCATACACACCTGCCATTCCATGGGTGTCATCCACAGAGATTTAAAGCCTGAAAATTTCCTCTTGTTGAGCAAGGCCGAAGATTCACCCCTCAAAGCCACTGACTTCGGTCTCTCAGTCTTCTACAAACCAGGTGATGAAAGAAATTTCCCATCCCTTTTTCTCTTGTATCCAATTCAAATCAAAGGGGTAACAAGATTTTTATTTCCTTGCTAATACATTCAAGAATGTTTCAACAGGGGAAGTGTTTAAAGACATCGTCGGAAGTGCATATTACATTGCTCCGGAAGTGTTGAGGAGGAGATATGGACCCGAAGCCGATATATGGAGCATTGGTGTGATGTTGTATATTCTTCTAAGCGGTGTTCCCCCCTTCTGGGCTGGTAATTCATGAACCCATCTTTCTTTTTGAACCATTTTCATTGAGATATCATATATTATGAGCAGATTTCAGCTAAGCATTTCATCCAACTTTTTGTGAATAGAATCCGAAAATGGGATATTCAATGCAATTTTACGGGGGCACATCGATTTCACAAGCGATCCATGGCCCTCAATTTCGCCTCAAGCGAAAGATCTTGTGAGGAAAATGCTAAATTCAGACCCTAGGCAGAGGTTAACAGCAGTCCAAGTTCTAAGTAAGTATATATAATCATATACTTATGTTATTAGATCAATCATATAAATATTTAAGATGTTGTTTATCATAATATATCTCTGAACAGGTCATCCATGGATCAAGGAGGATGGAGAAGCACCAGACACTCCTCTTGACAATGCCGTAATGTCTCGGCTCAAACAATTCAAAGCAATGAACAAATTCAAGAAAGTTGCTCTAAGGGTATGTATGCAACATTGATTAATCTCTGCACTCAAAACATTTACATTAGAATCATATCATCTTGATATTGATTACAATCATATTTTATTGAGAATGCAGGTGATTGCAGGGTGCCTATCAGAGGAAGAAATCATTGGACTGAAGGAGATGTTCAAGGGCATAGACACGGATAACAGTGGCACGATAACACTTGAAGAGTTGAAGCAAGGGCTTGCCAAGCAAGGGACTAAATTAACAGAATACGAAGTTAAACAATTAATGGAAGCTGTGAGTTCTTTCTTTAGAGAAATAAAACAATTGCGGAATATTTGATCATTGTTTTTGTTAGTGAACACTAATTTTGGTGTTTGTGGGAAATTAAACAGGCTGATGCAGATGGCAATGGAACCATTGACTATGATGAGTTCATCACAGCCACAATGCATTTGAACAGAATGGACAAGGAGGATCACCTTTATACTGCCTTCCAACACTTTGATAAAGACAACAGCGGGTAAATAATTAAACTAGAGAAAAAAAAAATTGCATTTCATTAACGAAGTTGATACACATGCATACAATCTTAAACCCTGTGTATGATTCTATTCAGGTACATTACTAATGAAGAGCTGGAGCAAGCTCTCCGCGAATACGGCCTGCTTGATGGGAAAGAATTAAAGGAAATCTTGTCTGAAGTTGATAGTGATAATGTAAGTACTTCATCATGCTACCTTGAACTCATAGTTAGGATTGTGAAATTAGTATATGTTATTTTGACTTAAGCTGTTGTTAGTACATATGAGACTGAAAAATTAACTCTTGCAGGATGGGCGGATTAACTATGATGAATTTGTGGCAATGATGAGAAAAGGAAATCCAGATGGAAACCCGAAGAAGCGGCGGGATGATGTGTTTGTTTGATTTTTGTACTAGTGTTTTTTTCACTTTGATGGTTATAATCCATCTGGTGAAATGAATAGAAAAAATGAAAATCATTTGTGGATATGATCACGACATTGGAGGGTGAAAAAATGGTTTGCATATGCCTTAGAAAGCAAACAAGCGTTGTACATTAATATTGTTGCACTAAAAAGAAGATGAAGAGATTGAGGTGAGGGGATATGGGCATGGGGGGATGGCTGAAGAAGAAGAAGAAGCAAGACGAAATACATTTTATTGATTATGGGGGTTTGATTTGATGTGTGTGTTCTTGGGGAATTAGATGTCTAAATTACATTTTGTGAACAATGTAACTAAGTCATGTGTTACTAATGCTAGGAGATAAGAGCTGTATTTTTTAAAATTTAATGTATGTATTTTCTTCAATTTTAGGAGTACAATTGAAAATTTTATCTTTAAAACTAGCATTGTAGTTCCAAGTTTTAGTTATAGTTATAATCACCATTAAATTTAGCAATTACAAAATTGTAAATTTTTTTAATTTCATTATTAGAAATGATTAATATCTGATAAAACAATTAATATATATTTAAAAATTAATATCAGTTTGTATTAAAATTTTTTTTTAAAAAAACTCTACAATTATGTTTTTGTAATAAAGCACAAAAAAAAAAAAAACAATTTTATTCCTACTAAAAAAATGTTGTCCCATATAAATGTTTAAATCTCTATAAAAACAATTGTAATATTTCTCTTCTTCCTTCAAAATTTCCCTTGTTGAAATAATGATTTCAGTGGAAGGTATCAGAGGAGCTAGCTAGGGTTCGGCTAAAGAAGACGGGATTCTCACGCCAAAGGGATCAAGACAACAAAAAGGAACAAACTCAAGCATGCCTCTTAACTTGTGTTTTTCTCAATAATTATAGAGAAATGCTTTTTGTATAATTTTTTTGTCTACTTGATGTATCATTAAAATGATTGATTTTTTTAATTTATATGAAACCCATAATATTAAATGCATCTACTCATTTAATAGCATATGAAAATTATTTTAAAAAGTGAAACAAAAAGTTATTTCTATAGCATCACCCATAATTATAATAGACTCTTTTGACTGGATTAAACATCGGTCAAAATAAAACCAGATCGGATCAGCCTCAATTTTGAAAACCGAAATCCATTGGTTTCGGCCAGAACCGACCCGCGGCCATGCCCCTCAGCAGGCAGCACCAAAAAATACAATAAAAATTGAAAAATTAAAAAAAAAA